CGAACTTATTTACTCATCAAAAATATCATCCAGGGCTGGGGCTGTAGCTCAGTGGTAGAGAGCCTGCCTTACACATGTGAAGTACTGAGTTCAGTCCTCAGCACCACATAAAAATAAATAAATAAAGATATTGCGTCCATCTACAACTAAAAAGTATCACCCAATTATTAAGTATAAACAAAAACAAAAATATTATCCAAGTCAGGTACATGACACATGCCCATAATCCCAACTACTCAGGAAACCAAGGCAGGAAGTTTGCTAGTTCAGCGTCAACCTGGGCAACTTAGAGATATCCTATATGGAAATTTATATATATATATATATATATGTGTGTGTGTGTGTGTGTGTGTGTGTGTGTATACATATATATATAAAGGGTTGAAGAGGTAGCTTAGTGATGAAATGTTTCTGGGTATAATACCCAATACTGAAAAAAGAAATAGAAAGAAGAAAAAAGAAAGAAAAGAGAGAAAATAGCCATTTTCATGGGAGACATGATTACATATATATGGAAAATCCAAAATAATTTACAAATAAATTATTAGAATTAGTAAATTTATCAAGATTGTTGTATATGGCCTCAACATACCAAAAAATCAATTATATCCCTAAACTTTAGGAACAAAAATAACTTATCAAAAAATTTTAAAAGGAACAAGAGCATACAAGATAAAATGCCTAGGATTAAATTAACAAAAAATGTGCTTAGTCTAAACAGAAAACTATGAGACATTCCCAAGATAAATTTAAAAGATCTAAATAAATAATTCATAGCAACAGTATTCATAATGGCCAAAAAATCAAAAACAACCTAACATCATGAGTAAAATGGTTAAGTAATGGCATAGTCATACCTTGGAATATTATACAACAATGGAAAGAATGATCTACCATGCTACATAATGAATTCACAATGTTGAGCAAAAGAAGCCATAATAAAAAGTGGTTACCTTTGGGGCTGGGGATATAGCTCAGTTGGTAGAGTGCTTGTCTTCATGCACAAGTCCCTGGGTTGATCCCCAACACAAAAAAAGAAAAAAAAAGTGGTTACCTTTAGAGATTAATGATTAATTAAAAGAAGGTGTGAGGAAAGCTTCCGGGCTATGGACAATACTATGTGTGTGTGTGTGTGTGTATGCACATGTGTGTGTTTACATGCACAGGTAGTATTTCATTAATACACTATTCTATAAAAATCCCATTGAGCCATAACTTAAGATTTATCACTTTATGTATGTTACATCTATTCTAAAAACATTTTTTTCCAGATTTTACAAAATAAGCCTGATCTCAAAAGGGAAAGAAAAGGAGAAGAAAAACTGAAAGAATAAACAGAATGAATGATAGAATAATAATAAAGGGGCTGGGGTTGTGGCTCAGTGCTAGAATGCTTGCATTGCATGTGTGAGGCACTGGGTTCGATTCTCAGCACCGCATATAAATAAGTGAATAAAATAAAGGCCCATCAATAACTAAAAAAAGAAGAAGAAGAAGAGAAAGCTAAGGGGTTCCATATACTTGCAGTATATATTGAGAAACCACATGACATGTATTCTTATTGAACTCACTCAAGACCTCATGAGGTGGATATTTGTCCCAGTTTAGAGAAACTGAGGTTCAGAAAGGTAATGTCAACCATCAAGGTCACACAGCAATGGCACTAAGTTTGCCTGATTCATCATCTCACCTTTTTAACCACTGGACCCACCACCTGCCCAAACAGGTTCCTTTCCAGGCCTTATAACAAAGCACCATCTGATATTCAAAATAATAACTACAAATTAACAAGATGTTCTATAAGCCTTTGATTAGCACCTTAACAAGTCATCATGATTTCCATTTCTGGTAGGAAAACTCAGACTCAGAAAGGGTAAACCATTGTGTCAAGGTCACAGCTAGTAAGAGATGGAGCCAAAATTCAAACCCAAGAATATCTGACTTCAGGCCCACTGCCTTATCATCACTTTCACTGCCCAGTAGTTAAGAGGCCTGAATTTCACTCATTCATTCATTCCAACAAAACTTTTTAAGCGCCTACAATAGGCCAGTCTCCTCATGCACAGAATAGAACTAGGGGAGGAGGATCTAGGATGGTAGATACCCAAATAGATGAAACATGTCAGGAGGACCGCTACCACAGAGTAAGTGGACAGTGCAGCAGGAAAAGGGCTTTCTGAAGAAGTGACAGCTGGTCTGATGGTTGGATGAACAAGAGGATTCTTTCTCGGAGTCTAACCTAGCAAAGGGGCAGAGTGGATGGGACTGTGTGTGTCTGTGTTTGTGTGTTGTGCGCGCGCAGTGGTGGAGATAGAACCCAGGGCTTCATGCAGTCCATCACTGAACCACGTACCCAGTCCTTCGATGGGACATCTGTCTACCTATAAAATCTAAGGGTTGTTTTTTTTTTGGGGGGGGGGGCTGCCCCCCCAAAAAAAATGAATAAATGGTTTAAGAAAGAAGCCTACAGGGACCTATTAATACAGCGTGACTGGAGTCATAAAAGGGCCCAGGAATGGACTGGGTTAAGGTGAGGCTAGACATCATTGTGACGGTGCAGGGCGACCAGGCACGGAATACAGGGCAAAAAGAGCCCGGCTTGTTGGCTGATAAGAAATGGGGGATGGACACAGAATCCCTCAGTCCAACTCTCCGCTACTCGGCCCTATTTCACCAATGCTCAAGGCAGAAAGGGACACAGCAGAGCAAGCCACACAGCCACCTACCCTTCGCGCCACCCGCCACAGACCCCGCAGCAGTCGCGCGCCGCGCAAGTACCAAAGGCCGTGGACACCCTTACGCATGCGCGCCCACAGCTTTACAGGTAACTGACTAGAGAGCCGGCGCCAGCCCGCGGTGTGCGCCTGCGTCCCGGGAGGAGCCCGGACGGGGCGGGGCTTAGACACCGCCCTTCTCGGAACCGCCCTGCCCCTTTGAGTTTCTGGCGGGAAAGCTGCACGCTCACTTCTCCCCCACCACGCGCAACTGCCGTTCGTCGTTCGTGGCCTCCAGCCGTGTCCCGAGACTGGGACACGACTCCAGGTACGCCCTGCGTGCAGCAAGGTTGTCCAGAGTAACCCTTTCATAGTCCGCCTGAAATCCTGGCAAGGCTCCCCAAAACATAGGACAGGTACCCCAATACCAGCACCTTCCGAATTCTGTTAAAAGACCTCTTGAAAGCCTGACCAAACCCCCTCAAGTGCTAAAAGGAACCCCCTAGGAAATATTGCTGGTGACCCCTGAAATCCTGTCAGAATCTTCTAGAAATTCTGGCAGACTGTGAAATCCTGCAAATTCCCTCCCAAGACCCAGAAATCCAGTCAGAAATGCAGGGACTTCCCAGAAATCCAGAGCCCCCCCCCAAAAAAAAAAACATCCAATCAGAGACCCCATGAATTCCAGCCCAGACTTTCCTCCCCAGAATGCCTCCCGGGACCTCCCAGGCTTCCAGTGTATGGAGGACATGGCCTCCCTGCTCCCTCGGGAGCTTGTCCCCGGGCCCTGTGGAGCTCCAGGGCCTGTTGGCACACTTGCAGGGACATGGCCCTGGCCCCTTCTGCCCCCTCCAGGATTCCTGGAGTGGTCTCTCTGTAAAGACCCCTCATTTTCTAGAACCTTCTAAAAGCTTCGGAGAAGCGTGCAGTGCCGGATCGTGTCTGGAGCAGGGAGAGCAGGGTCTTGGGAGCACTTGGTGAGGAGAGAAGGGCCGAGCAGCTCAGGGGCGGACACAGCACCCCCCTCCCATCTTTGGCCTTGGCCCAGGGTGTCCCCTTCAGCCCCAGGGGCTCGTGGTGTGGTTTAACTGCTAATGATGTTCCTTTTTCTCCTGAAAGTGTCCTGGAGTTCAGACTAATGGGTAGGTCAACCTGGTTATAATAGAGGAGGGACAGCACTTTCAGGCACAGGGGAAAGAGTCCCTAGCTCTCAGGGACCTCTAAAGGCTCCTCAGGGGCCTGTGAGGCAGAGTTGGACTTGAACAAGGAGAAGGGTGGGGTGGGTCTGGGCCTCAGGGGACCAGGGGTCATACTGAGCTGGAACCTGGAGAGCAGCAGGTTCAGAGGGCAATGCTGAGCTCCCATGGCCCATGGTGGGCAAGGGACCTGAGGTGGGCTAGTGAAAGAAATAGTGACAAAAAAAGAGGCAAGGAGCTTCAGATACCTCTGTGTGTTTTTCCAGCCTGAAAGCCTGGGGCTTAATCTGGAGGCACTGGGGATCCATCAAAGGCTAGGAGCAGGAGAGAGACAGGGTCAAACTGTTATGAAAGGACAGTGGTCCAAATACAGGATAAAATTGCAAGAATGTCAGCTGCTGGGGCCATCTGGGAGCCAGACACAGCACCTCATTCAGCCAGAGGAGCAGAGACAGGAAGGCAAGAAGGGTGTCCCAGGCAAAGACCAGAGATGGGAACAGCCAGTCCAGTTTGAGGAGTAGTATATGGTTCCGAGTTGCTAGAAAATCAAGTGATTTGGGAAGTTGAAACAACTGCCCAGGCCATGCAGGGCCTTTGTTGCCACATCCAACCAGGCAATATCCCCAGAGCGCTGGGAAGCTATGGAAGGACACTGAGCAGGGAAGAGAGCAGGTCTCTTCTGGGACCCCATGGAGCTAGACTCGGCCCTATGGACAAGCCCAGGGAGAGGACATTGCAGGCCCGAGGCAGGGGTGTGGGAAAGAAGAGTCATTGCAAAAAAAGGATGGGGCTAGGGACTTGACAAGCTGGGGGAAGAGGGAAGGCCACATTATCTTCCTAGGGGGAGTAGTGGCTCCCACCCACTAGCGCCCCCACTTTGATCTCTGCTTACCCACTCCTCAGGCCCCCTTTGCCAGCCCACACTTCCAATCCATAAAACAGGTCGGAGCGGGAGCTGTCAGGTTGAGGCGGGGGTGGAAACAGGTTCTGAGAGCCCAGAGGGCCTGGGGCACAAGTGGGCGGGTAGATCCCCACCTAAGGGCGATAATCTGAGAAAACCATTCCCCTGCTTGTCCTTCCAGGAGCTCTCTGGACAGCTGGTCCCTTTCCCATCCCTTACAGTGATGGAGGGAGGCTGGTAGCTTCAATAGCAGCTGTGGAGCATCAGGAGTGGCCGATGGACCTGCCAGAGGGCCGGGCTGGTGGCCCCGCTGCAGAAAGTAGGTGTTTGGGCCTTTGTTTGCCTTGGAGGAGGGAGAGAGAGCTGGGGGTGAATGGGCATCAGGCTGTGACTTGGACTCTTGGGAGACATGGCTTGAGTCGCTGAGCAGGCTGGGCAGGAAGAAGCGGTGGTGAATTAAATGCCTACTTTGTACACGCCCTCCTATCTCACCTGCTCTGGGAAGGTTGAGCTGTGCAAGAGCAGAGATCTTTGCATATACTGTGCCAGTCACCAGGAGCACCCTTCCCCAGTTGCCCACATACTCACCCCTCCTCCAACTCAGGTTGATGCTGGGATGGCACCTCTTACTCTAGGTAAAGCAGCTACTCTGTCACTCTTTTCCCTTCCCTGCTTCCCTTATCTTCAGAGCACTGGCATCTGTTTGTCACCTGTTTAGTCTCTGTTTCTTCCCTAAAGCATGAGCTCCACAAGGCAGCGTCTATTTTATTCATTTTGGTATTCCCAGTCCCTAGAGAGTGCTAGCTCACAGAAGTATCATGCCAGTAACATGTGATTTTTAGTTACATTAAAAGGAAAGGAAACAAGGGAAATGAATGGTAATAATAGATATTATTTAACCTTATATATTCAAACTAGTATCTTTTCTGCTTGTAACCAGTATTAATATGTACTGAGGTATTAAGTCTTCAGATCTAATGTATACTTTATACTAACAAAACTTCTCAATTCACACTCCACCCAGTTCAAGTGCTGAAGAGCCACATGTAGCAAGTGGCTGCCCTATCAATGGCATTGCCCTAGAGTAATGCCTGAAGCATAGTAGGAACTCAGTTACTGTTGCCAAGCGAATGGATGGATGCAGATGTGTGGGTGTGATAGCCTGCTTGGAAGGAAGCTTCTGGGTCACCCTCTCCGCTAACCAGGAGAGCTCAGTCTGACAGGAGAAGCAGCTGCCTTCTTAGAGGCTCTCAGGCATCACAGAGCACAACCTTCAGCTTTTTTTCAAGGCCCCAGGACTGGACTCTGGCCCCAGGAGGCTTTCCAGATAGGAGAATCAGAGGCAGACACTAGGATGGGGGAACCCGAGCACAGGCTGATGGCCTAGTGACCACAAGCTAAACTTCGCCCACACCAGCAGAGGGCGTGCGGCCTCCAGGAACCATGAGCAAGGGCTGAGCCTCTGGGAGGCTCTGGAAGGAAAATGAGGGACACACCCAGAGATGGAGATGGAGAAAGCAGGTCCGGGAGGAAACAGAGATACAACAGAAGAAGTAAAGAGATGACTTAGGGAACAGAGTCACCAAGACATGGGAAGAGAAGTACAGAGATGGAGAGACAGAAAATAAAGTAGGGGCAAGGGACATGGAGACAAAGAGGGGGAACACTGGTAATAGAGATTGGGGGAAAAATGGAGCGAAAACTAGAGAAGAGGCAAGGACAAAGAGACACTGAGGACGGAAATAAAGGAGAGAGAATAGAACAGAAATAGTGACATATTCCTTCAATGCCCTGCAGATGTGCTGGTCCTCAGAGACAGTATGATCTACCCAGCTTGGCTTTTCTTGGGCAGGAGATTTGGGCAGGCGAACTCACTGGGCCAGAGTCCTTATCTATAACATGGGGCGGACACTAAGGAAGAAACCAGACTGTAGTTAAAACCTTGCCTCCCCCAGCCCTGGGTCCCCCGTTTTCCTTTCCAAGGGCTGAACCCAGAAGAATAGGTTCAACCAGAGGGCATCAAATTTTTCCCACAACAAAGAAAAGTTAAGAGGGATGAGAAAGATGACTCCTGTTTTGGTCAGGTGACCTTGGGCAAATTTCTAAGTACTTGGTGCCTCAATCCCTCATCTGTAAAGCAGGGCTAACATAGCAGCCTCCCCTGGTTCATGTGAAGCCCTCAGAAGAGGCCTGACACCTACTAAATGCTCAATAGATGTTCAGTTCTATTTTTGAGTCTCTATCACATGCCAGGACCTCTGCCAGGCAGGGCCTTTCAAGATTTTGCTTCACTTTTTCTCTTGGAGGGAGGTAATATCACCCCCCTTTTTCCAGAAAAAGCAACTGAGGCTTAGAGGGACCCTTGCCCCATTCAAACCTGAGCCCAGGTTACCCAACCCTGCAACCTGTGCTCAGTGAGCTGCTGACTCCAGGTGTCCAAGGCCAAGGCAGGACCTGAAAAGTTACTTCCAGCCCTGAGAGAGACGTTGAGCCAATCCAGTGGTGCCTGGAGAAGAGAATCTCCTCATGTTGCGGAGCATATTTTGAGTTCCTGCTGTGTGAAGTCATGGTGAATACAGTAGTAGGCAAACAGACCCTGGGAAACAGACATCCATATGTTCTTCACATACACAGATCTAGCCCTCCTAGCCCTGGGAAAGGGGGTTGCTCTACCATCCCCCACTTTACCATTGTGGAGACTGAGGCTGCAAAAGGAGAAGCCTCTTGTCCAGAGACACACAGCCAGGCTCTGACCCCAGGTTGGTCAGACACCTGATGCGGGTCCTAACCGTTCTGTCACTGCCCACCTTGCTGGAATTGTCCCACCCCTCCACATCTCAGAACCGTGTTATTGCCACCCTTGCCTGGGGATGCCAGGTGGAGAGAGACTTGGTCCCTGGGGCAGACTGGGAGACCGGAGATGCAGCAGGCAGGATCGATGCAGGCTGCCCGCGCTTTATTGGATTGTTCCTGGCTCCTGGGCCCCCTTCGCACTCTGCTCCTCCCAGACTCCTCTCTTTGTCCTCCCGCCTCTTCCTCTGAGCTCAGCTTGGGAGGGTGGAGAAGAGAGGAGGCTAGGGTGATCTCAGAGCTTGTTATCTGGGCTCCTGACACATGGGATACACAGAATTTCTGGCCTGAAAGAGAAGACACACATGGCAGGGATGGGGAGAGTTATTCAAAGACCCTCATGTTGCCTCCCCACCCAAAGCTACCAGCCCCAGTCCCAGGCAGCTCCCAGTGAACTCCCTCCCCTCTGTGGAGCCCAGGGACCTAGGACCTGGTGTCACCCTCTTTCCTTTGGTCCTCTGACTGGTGGGTTGGGCCCTCTTGTCTCCTCAGTGTACCTCTGGGAGCAGCCTGAGGAGGTGAGCCCAGGACCATTGCTCAGCTTAGAGGAGCAGATACTCAACTCCACGTTTGAAGCTTGTGACCCTCAGAGGACAGGTGGGAGGGGCAGGTTGGGGGTTTGGGGAGCAGAGGGAGAGGATGGGGGTCTGGGAACTGAAGCCATAGAGAGAGGACTGGGCTACAGCTTCTTGGAGCAAATGGGTGACTCCATGAATAAAGGAATGGCGGCCTTTCAGAATGAGAACTGGGGCCCTTGACAGAAGAGGGGTGGGACTTCTGGTGTCTAGTGGGGAAGGAGGCAGCCACAATGCCTGGAGAGGCACACAGTACTGCCCTTGACTTGATCCTCTTTGGCCCACTCTGTGAGGTGGGGTGACTGGGTTTCATTTCCAGGTGGAAAATTTGACAGAGAGGAAGGGACTTGCCCAAGGTGTCTCCACCAAGCTATGGGACAGGATGCCACAAACCTAGCCAGTGACATCCTGTTCCCAAGTCACTGCCTGGCCTCTCCCACCCAATCTCTGTCATGGTATGCTCTGTCCCAGGCACCGTGGCTGTGACCCACGTGCTGGCGTACCTGGAGGCTGTGACAGGCCAGGGCCCCCAGGATTCTCGCCTCCAAACATTGGCCCAAAGCCTGGACCCCAAAGGGGAGGGCCCTGGGGCCACTGTGGACTTGGACACCTTCCTGGTTGTCATGCGGAACTGGATTGCTGCCTGTCAGCTGCGTGGGTGAGTCCCTGCATGGCCAACCCCCTCCTCTGAGAAGTCCTAAAAGCCAACCTCATACCTGGTTTTGCAGCTCGCATCTGCAGACCCGGGGACCTACTGTGGTTGGAATAAGACTGAGGAAGAGAAAAAGCAAAGAGATGGGGTGGGGGGCCTGAGGACAAAACGCCGGGATAAAGAGGCACGGGGGAGGGGACAGAAATAAACAGGGGCTGAAGATATGGGGAGTGCTTTGGGGGGCTGACAGAGGTCCCCCATCCCTTCACCAAACCCAGTCCCTGCCCCTCCTGCTCTTCCATCTGGCCCTGGGTAGTCACCATCTGGCCTCACCTTCCTTCCCACAGTGCCTCTCTCACCTGACCTGTCCCCTCCTCCCACCCACAATCCCCCTGCAGTGACAGGTCAGGATTGTGGGTTGGCTGCAGGGGGGCCCTAAGCCTCATCCCTTTGATACAGGGGATTAGAGCTTGGAGAGGAGACCGCCTTGGAGGGAGCCCTGACCTCCCAGCAACTGCCATCTGGTGAGATTGCTATATATAGAATGAAGCAGGCAGGTCCAGGGTCAGCCAGTGGGGGGACTTCCCATGGGGCAGAGCAAGAGATAAGGTACAACCAAGCAAGGACCTTTGTTCCAGCCTGGAGCTGTGAGTTTGGCTTTCTAGGTGTCTCTGTGACTGCCCCCTGCCCACCATCCTCACTTTAACTTTTGGTTTTTTTTCCCTCCCCCTTGGGGATTATTTCTAACCCCTCTCCCCAAACTAGCCCTATTACAGAGGCCTACAAGGCCCTGCCTACTTCCTCTTCACACTCTTGTGGCCGAAGGCCCTCTTGCCTTGGGAAGCCAGGGAATGCCCCAGGCCCACCTCCCGGCTCCCCACCAGCTCACAAGCCTGCAGGCCTTTCCCTCCTAGCCGGTCCTGCTCACCTAGTGAGCCCCCTTCCTTGTTGTTGGTTGGTTGGTTTGCTCACCATCCTGTGCCCAGGATCTCACAGCTAGGTGGCTGTCTGCTAAAAAGCGGCCATGTGATATTTCTCTCTCTCACACACACACACAAAAAAAATGCAGTTTTCTTGATATTATCTCAGACCTCCTTCATCAGCCTTGGAGCCATGGAAAGACTATGAGCTGAGGAGAGACAGGTGAACTCTGGGCCAGTAGGGGAAGGACAGGAGGGGGAGACCAGAGGCCAGGAGGTTAGGGAGGACACGGGGCAGGGGGCAGCAGGGGACAAGAGAGTAGGAGTGGAGCAGAGAATCAGGATACAGGGATGGACCTGGGTTCAGGTTGAGGAGGAGGGGGGAGCCAGGTAAGCTCAGGGGCTCTTGGGTGGCATGGGAACTGGGAAGAGGAACAGGTTTGGGGAAGTTGATGTACTGCCCAGTGTTGGGCATAAGGAATAGGAAAGTGGGGCTATTCAGAAGATCCAGTCTGAGCTCAGAGTAGATGAGCAGAAGTTCTTCATGATGGGGGTAACTAAAGCCCTGGGAGCCCAAGAGATCACCCAGAGTGAAGGGAGCAGCGGAGGAGCAGTCAGAGGAAGGGCGAGCCCAGAGCCCTGGGGCACACTGACATTTAAGGTGGAGTCCAGTACCCTCTTGTCTCCCTCCAGGATTCCCAGAAGCTGAGGAGCCAGCCAACCTGGAGAGCTTTGGAGGCGAAGACACCAGACCCGAGATGTACCTATCCTCAGAACCCTCCCTGCTTCTCCCACCCCAGCCCTGTTTTCTCCTGCCTGCCCAGGTCGGGGTAGGGATTGGGGTCCTCTGGGTCATGGGCGAGGCACACAGGCCTGTTGATAGCTTAGAAAGAGCAGAGGAGTCTCACTCCTGTTTCTGTTTCAACAGAAGAGCCCTGTCTCCCCACCACCAGAACCTCTACTGACCTGGGAAAGGAGGCAGGGACTCTGGCAGTGACCACAGCCCCTTTGCTACCGCCAGGCCTGCCACAGCTGACCTTCTGAGCAGCCTGGAGGACCTGGAACTCAGTAACCGGCGTCTGGCTGGGGAGAATGCCAAACTACAGCGCAGTGTGGAGACAGCCGAGGAGGGGTCAGCGCGCCTCACGGAGGAGATCTTGGCCCTGCGCAGGCAGCTTCGCAGGTGGCTGTGCCCCTACTCTGCCTCCGTCTTCCCGCAACCCCAGCCTCTCTCTCTGCTCTCCTGCTTAGTGACTTTGACTCTGCACCTGTCCATTTCTTCTTCCCCCTCTGTCTGTATCTTTCTCCCTTGTTTCTCTCTGAGTCATGTCTCCCGACCTGTCTGTTCTACCTGCCTGTCTTTCCCTCTGGGTTCAGACTTCTCTCTTTATTCCTCTCCAGCTCTCTTTGACTCTCCATATCTTTGTTTTTTTCCTTTCTCTGTGTTCCTCGTGCCTCATGTCTGTCACAGTCCCAGTGTTTTAGTCTCCTACTCTCTGTAGATCTCTGTCCCACCTCCTCAGTCTTTTAGGTTGAAATTGGATCTCTGTCCCACCCTTATCTCTTGGTCTCTGTCCTTTCTTCTTTCTGGGTCTTTGTCCTGCCCTCTCTATCTCTGCCTCTCCACCTCTAGGTCTCTGTACTCCCCACTCCAGCCTGAGATTTCTCTGTGGCTGCTGTCTGAGTGGATCTATCTCTGCATTTCTGCCTTCCTCTCTTCTTGTGGCTCCTCTGCCCCTGCACTGCTCAGTACCCAGCAGGCTCTGCAGTTTGCCAAGGCAGTGGATGAGGAGCTGGAAGACCTGAAGTCTCTGGCCAAAAGCCTGGAAGAGAAGAATCGCAGCCTTCTGGCCCAGGCCCGGCAGACGGTGGGTGCTGGCCCTGGCAGACAAAAGATGCCCTGCCTCTTCTTTCCTTCCTGGAGTGAGAGCAACAGAGCCTACCAGTGAAGTGGGAAGGGGCGAGGTCACCTGGTTTCCTCTTTCACTCCAGGTCTTACAGTTCCCAGACTTTCTCAGGCCTGCCTACCACCATTCTCCTGATAATGGCGACATTTGGAGCCATTCTCCCAGCCCTGTGCTTCAATGACCCCAGGCCCTGATGTGTTCCCTGGGTGGGAAAAGGGTACTATGAGAGCAAGGAGACTGGAACTGAAGCCTTCCTCCTCTCTCTGGGGTTGGTCAGGAAAAAGAGCAGCAGTACCTGGTGGCGGAGGTGGAGACTCTGCAGGAGGAGGTAAGCTGAGGCCCGTATCACCCCTTCTTCCCCAGTCCTCAAGGGCTTCCTAGCTCTAACCCTGCCTCCTGTAACACCCCAGCAGCCTAAGTTCAAACTAAAGCCTGCAGAGGGAGACCTCAGCATCCCAATGATTTGTGAATATCCCTGAGATCATTGATGACAAGAGCTTGGAGCACAGGGCCAGTGCCTGGGTTCACAGTAAAGCCACATACATAATAAGCATGTGCCATTCCCTCCCCTCTTGTCATCTCACTGTCTTTGTCTGTACAATGAGCAAAACAGTGGCATCTCCCTTGGGTTGTGTGAGATTTAAACCAGAACATAACTTGGAAAGTTTCAGACACAAGGTAGGACACACAGGAAATGCTCCCTAAGAGTTAGTATGTATTAGCATTTTTTATGGTAAAAAGAACAGATTTTGCCAGGTATGGTGGTGTGCATACCTGTAATCCCAGCTACTCAGAAAGCTAACACAAGAGGTTCACAAGTTCAAGGCCAGCCAGGGCAACTTAGCAAGATCCTGTCTCAAAATAAAATGTAAAAGGCTGGGGATTTTGCTCAGTGGTAGAGCTCTGAGTCCTGGGTTCCATCCCCAATAATATGAGAGAAAAAAGAAGAACATAGACTTTGAAAGGTTTTGAAGTGAGTCTTGAATGTAGACCCCATCTCTACCAATGATACAAGAGGCAGACTTTCAGTGTGTGGCTTTTCCTTTCCAAGCTTTAGTTTTTTGTTTTTGCTGTACTAGGAATGGAACCCAGGGCCTTATGCAAGCTAGGCAAACTCTTTCCCATTGAGCTACACCCCCAAGCCTTAGTTTTATTCTCCAAGACCAAAGAGGAGGATTACCTGTTCAGTAGGGTGGTTGAAAAGATTAAATTTTGCCCATTGCCTACCATATCATATGAAGTTCAGTCTAATTCTAGCTCCATTTCATCTGAAACAGGAAACATCATCTTAGTTCATTGTGGGTCTGTCTAGTTCTCTTAGGATGAAACGCATGCGTCAATTGGTGAAACTCATCACTACTGCCTCCACTCCCCTGACCAAGGTAGCATCTAAGTTGCAGGCGATCCACACAGGGTCTCCAGGAAGCAGAAGGTCCTCAATGTCTGTTCCCTCTGCTGTTCACAAGATCAGTGATCTTCATTCCATCTGTTTCTCGGCCTTTGTCACCACTACATCCATGGGGAGGCCTACATGGCCTTCAGATCTCTGGACTTAACGGTCCTAGCTGCAACTCCTGGCAGGATCCTTATCAGGGCTGGGTCTCTCACTTGGCCATTTCTGAACTCTTTCAGGGCCACAGAGAAGGTTTGGCCACTTCTCTGTGAAAGCCCACAGGGATTTCATTGGGGCCTCTCCTTCCATTCCCGACACAGCCATCTCTACTCTATCATTCCTACTCCTTCATGATTCTAAGACTGAGCTGAGAAGGGGACACAGGGCCTCTCAGATCTCCAGACTCTCCAACGGTTCTGTGGTCTACTGCATACGTCCTGTTTGCTCCTCACAGGTAGCTCAGGGCTTAGGGATGATGGCTCAGGGCTTAGGAATGGTTCTGGCCCATTTTCAGTCTACTGCTATGTGTTCTCACTCTCCTGCACCCTGTTGCAGCTCTAAGGATCTCTGCCTGGTCTGAGCACATCATGTATTTCCCCCAAATCTCTTTGTCCAACATCTGGTTTATGACTTTCACACAGAAATCCAAATTTTTTCTGCTCTTCTGTGGCTTTTCCTTGAAAAATCTCCCCGCTGGAGCAGTGAGATCCCACAGCAGGATGGCTGCTGCAGTGTGAGGCACGAGTATAGACAGGATATGATGAGTTCTTGCAGAACATTTTTTTAAGAATGAGGAAAAAGTTTTCCCTGGAAGAACCTCCTTCCTCACAGCTCATTGGCATCCAACAATTATAGCCAACAGCTCCCTGATATAATATGGCCACCGATGGGTTCATGATATTCCAAGGAAGAGAATATCAAGGAAATTGCAACTTCAATTTGAAGGACGTGCATTTCCTTCACCAAACCCATGGCTGGGCATGGTGGCACACACCAGGTACTTGGGGGGCTGAGGCATGAGGATCACAAGTTTGAGGCCAGCTGGGACAATTTAGTGAGATCCTATCTCAAAATAAAGGGGCTGGGAATGCAGCTCAGTGGTGGAGTATTTGCTTAGTGTGTGTGATGCCCTGGGTTCAGTCCCCTGTATGAGGCTGGGGTGGGGGTGGCTCTTAAGGAGGTGGTCTCTAGGTTGGTTTGGTGACTCACTGGGCTTTTTTGTCTGCTTATGGCTTCATTAACACAAATGACTACAAGAGCTCCCAGCCTCTTGTTCTCATTCAAAGCAGGACCAGGAGGTACCAAAAAATACCCCTCTGATGGCTTTTTCCTTCATCAAAAGAAAAAGCTTCTCCAGAAGCCCCTTGCCCCATGCCTCACTCCTCACCCCCAGCACACTTCTCCTATCTCACCAGCTAGAACTGGATCACAGGGAGGGTCAGAAAATCCTCAGCCTCTTACTAGGCTGAGAGGCAAACAAGAAAGGATAAGAATGACTGCTACGTTTGATAACCAGCCATATCCCCCAGATCTGCCAAGATTTCCTTCTTCTTCATCCTCAAGTATGAGGCTGGCACTCTTCTTGCCAGAGTGAATCCTTGATAAAAGCAAAAGGAACAAGAAGGGTGAATGGCAGCCAGTGGTCTCTAACCCCCCCACCCCCACATCTCCCACCCCCACCTTAAGGCCCACTGCCAGATCAAGTGCCTTGAGCAGTGCTGGGGACATCCTAGGCGCTCGATAAACTAGAGCTATTCTTGGTTCCTTCCCCTCGCCCACAGCTGCCTAGCGAGCATCTATAGATTGAGTTCTCAAGTTACAGAGGATAATGCTGGAGTAACAAGACACTCAGAGCTCTGAAGCTCTGGGCAGCCTTCCTTTGGAGGACCCACAGAGCCAGCTTAGTTTACTGCAGAAAGAGGCAGGAGCAGATGAGTAACCAGGCTCCCTGCAGAGTGGCTCAGGATCTGGCCTGCAAATCCCCAACCAGGTGGACAGATGTTGACACAGCACTCCTGGCCTGTCCTTCCTCAGTCCTTCACTTGGCAGCCCAGGCCTGCTGAGACAGAGCGAGGGCGGCTGATGGAGGACTTGGAGCCTGGCTGGCTGGAGAGAGAGGAACTTGCCTGTGTCCCCTGGGGCACCAGGAGTGCTTTGGGTGAAAGGGAGTTCTGGAATGCCTCTGTGCCGCCTGATATGCATCTCCTGGTGACCACATCATCTCAGGGAAACTTGTGAGGCTGATGGTGCCTAAAGACTTAAGACTGGAACTTGAGTCTGGTGTGGGCTGCCCTCTCCTGGCCTTGGTTTCTTCCCAGATAACTCCCTTTGCCCCTGAGGACAATCCAAGCACTGCTGCCTCAGGAGGCCTCTGGCTCTGTTCCCACTTTCAGGCCCTGGGCCTCTTCAGAACCCCTGGTTCATTAGCATCATCTACTCTGAACTCCTTATGGCCAAGGTGAAACTGATTCTCTCTGTGCCCTGTTCTCCCTCAGAGATGCATCTGACTCAGAGGATTTAGAATCACACAGACTGAGGTTTGAGTCCATTTTTCCTCCACGTAACCTTGGCCAAGTTTCAGTGACTCTACCTCCCATGTCTTCCATAAAAGAAGGAATAGTTAGGACAGTCAGACATGGCATTTCTCCTGAAGGGTATAGTATGAGGTGTACAGCACCACCTGTGACGTCTTCTTATGAAAGCACAGAACAAGAGTGTGAAAAACCCCAACTCGGTGTTGCACACCTGTAACCCCAGAGGCTCTGGAGAGTGAGGCAAGAGGATCTCAAATTCAATGCCAGCCTCAGCAACTTAGTGAGACCCTGTCTCTAAATAAAAAATAGCTGGGATGTGGCTCAGTGGTTAAGTGCCCCTGAGTTCAATCCCTGGTACCAAAAAAAGTCTGGACAGAGTCCTGAGTATACCGACCTGCTTAAAGGAAATAATAACAGGGGTATTTGGTGAGTATCACCATAGAGAGCAAGAATGATATTGGCCAAATGCAAATGTACCAACTCTACAGGGCACATGACCTGGTTTCTTCCACAGATGAAGGACCTATAAAGTACCAGGGAGAGATTATTGTTACATTAAAAGAAATGAAATGTTTCAGTCGATGGTAGGCCTTGTTTGGATCCTCATTCAAACCAACCATTAAAGACATTTGGGAGACAACCAAAATGAAAACAGCGAACACTGAGTATGAGATGATACTATAAATCACTGCTAATTTGGGAGAGGGTAATAATGGCATTGTGATTTTACTAAAGGAAATAAGTCCTCAAGTAGGAGATAAATGCCGGACTGGCTATGGTAAAATAATATGATGCCTGGGGTTTGCTTTACATCTAGTTTAAACTCTAAAGAAAAGGAATAAAACTGGGAAAATGAATATAATAATTGGAACTGGATGATAGATAATATGGATAATGGTGCTTTGTTACACCATTCTTGTGTGTGTTTAAAAAATTGTGCCAGGCTGAGTGCAGTGGCACATGCCCGTAATCCCAGTGTCTTGGGAGGCTGAGACAGGAGGATGCCCGAGTTCAAAGCCAGACTCTGCAATGGTGAGGCACTAAGCAACTCAGTGAGACCCTGTCTCTAAATAAAATACAAAATAGGGCTGGGGATGTGGTCCAGTGCCCCTGAGTTCAATCCCCGGTCACCCCCCCAAAAAAAATTGTGCCAGGCACAGTAGCACATACCTGTAACCCTACATACTCGGGAGGCTGAAGCAGCCGGATCTCACTCAAGTTCAAGACAAGCCTGGGCAACTGTCTCAGAATTTTTTAAAAAATTGTAAAAGGTCTGGGGATATAATTCAGTGATAGAGCACTTATGTAGCAAGTAAGTGCAAGGCCCTAGATTCAACTCCCACCAAAAAAAAATATAGTACAAAGTTAAAAGTTTATATAATATATAAATACCTGGTAAATATTATTTAATAGATAGGTAAATGTTAACATTTATCCAATATGTGGCACATGCCAGGCGCATATAACACTATTCTAAATGATTTGTTCCCACTAACGTTCATCAACATGTGTTGGCGTGAATTACTACCTGGGACAAGTTGCTCAATCCTTCTGTGCCCAAGTTGCCTTTATCTTTAAAACAGAGGATAATTAGTACATTAACATATGCAAAGTGCTAAGTGTTAGAAATGTTTTATTAACCCATTTAACCCTCACAGCAATCCCATGAAGTAAGTCCTGTTTATCTCTCTTTTTATTGATGGGAAGCCACACACAGAGAAGATATAGCTGAGGTCTCACTAGGATGGCTGAAGGAATTAATTAGGGACTAAACTTATATAAAGTGCTTAGGATGTACATTGAGTATTCATCAGATGTCAGCTGTTAGTGTCATGAATGTGTCTGGTGGGCTCTTCCTTCCTCCAGAATGGGAAGCTACTGGCTGAGCGGGATGGAGTGAGGAGGAGGAGTGAGGAGCTGGCCACAGAGAAGGATGCTTTGAAGGTGCAGCCCCTCCCTGGTGCCCGGGAACTTCCCACCCTCCCTGGGGCCATTTTCACCACCACCAGTTAGAGCCACTGAGACCTGCTCAGAGCGGGGGTCTTCCATCAAGATCAAGCTCTCAGGCTCCCAGGGCCACCCAGACAGCTGGGCTGAAATTCCCTGCAGTGCAGCTGATGCTCAGGAATTGGGCATTTGAGGAAAGAGCCCTGGGAGAGTGGGGCAGGCCAGAGGAGGGAAGGCCAAGGGGAACCAGGGAGGCCAGAGAGATGGACAGGCTCCTTCCTTGGCAGCGGCAGCTCTATGAATATGAACGCCTCATTTGCCAACGAGACGCCATCCTGTCTGAGGTGAGGGGGCTGGGGAGGGAAATGGACTTGCCTTCCACGTACACCTGCTGTTCTCTGCCCCTAGTCTGGCAAGAAAAGTCCACCTGGATCTGATTCCTGGATACCCAAACCAGAGGGGTCGGAGGGTTTCCCCAGGTCATAAGTGTGACTCCACAGGATCTAGAAGCTCTTTTCCCCAGTGTTCTACTTGGGCCCTAGCTCTACCCCCTGAACCCCAGCTTGACCCCAATGCCAGCAGCCCTGGTCTGGGGAGCACCCAAACTCAGTCAGCTTTGGGCTTTCCCAGCGTACTCGCCACACGGAGAGCTTGGCCAAGACTTTGGAGGAGTACAGAATGACCACGCAGGTAGCCACTGCCTTCTGTCCACCTTGGCTCTCTTTACCTCCATCATTTCTGAAATTTTGCTGCCTCTCCTTCCCGTGCCTCTTTCTGTCTTCATGGATCTTTTTTCAAGTCTGCACATCTGGTTTCTTTCATCCGTGCTGCATGACTGTGGCTCTCTTCTCTTTCCATCTCTTTTTCTTTGCACTTTTTCTCTTTTCCTTCCTCCTTCACTCTGTATCTCTCGGTTTCATTCTCTGTGGTGTCTTCCCCAGCATCTCCCCCATTTCTGTGTCTCTGCTTGGGCCCGCTGGAGTTCTTGTCTCTGATGCTGGGTCAAGGCTACCAGTCTCTCTGGGCAACTCTGGTCTCTGGTCTCACACCCTGTGTTTCTCTCTTGAGTCTTTCACCATCTGTGTCTCCCACTTTTCCATGTCTCTGCTTCTGCTTTCCTTCTCTTAAATTTCCTGGCTGTTTTACGTTCTTGGTTCCTCTTGCTTTCTGCCTCTCTCTGATTTTTTTTTTTTTTCTTTTAATGGTGCTGGGTATTGGACCCAGGGCCTTGTGCATGCAAGGCAAGCACTCTACCAACTGAGCTACATCCCCAGCCCTTCTCTGAATTCTTGTTTCTCTCTGCTTTCTTTCCCCTGGTCCTTTGGTGGTATTTGTCTGGGGAAGTGAAGGGGACGTAGAAGAGGAGCCCAGTGTGTGTTGGGGCGGGTGGATCAAAGTGGTGAGATAGGTATCACCATGTTCCACCTCCCTCACAGGAACTGAGACTGGAAATCTCACACCTGGAGGAACAGCTGAATCAGACCAGTGAGGGACCAGAAGAGTGAGTGGCATGTTGGAAGTGGGAGGAGGCAGGAAGGAACCCAAAGGCAGGGACACCCTGGCCTCCAGCTGAAGATGGGCAGGGCAGGGACCCCAGGCAGGCTTACTGACAGTTGCAGGCAGGCCAGGAGATAGCCTTCCTGTGCCTGTCTGTGTGGCCAGGTTACTGGAAGAGGCCCAGGCAAGAAGAGCAGGCTGGACGACACTGGTGCCCACATCACTGGGCTTGGAGATTGAGGCCATTTGTCAGGTGAGCCTAGTACCCTTGAAATATCCTGAGGGCCACCAAGACAGAAACTCCAAATGTCTCCCCACTTGACTCTCACACTTGGCCCAGCCCAGGGCTTCAGAACCCTGGGCGATTGGCTGCCAAAGAGACTCCCAATCCTCTCTAACTCTCTCTGTGTCTCAGATCCCAGCCCCAGAGCCATTGCCAGTGCCAGGCCCAACCTGACCCAGCACTGACCATCTCTATCCTGTCTGCCCCCCATGGCCATCTATTCCTTAACTATCTCTAACCTAGTCCCCAGCACCAAACCTTTTCCTATTCTTCCTTCCATGCCCTCCCAACCTCAGCTCCATACCAGGCCTTTTCCACCTCCCATTCTATTCCCAGCCCCACACTAAGCCCATCTGCAGCTCCATCTCTAACCTTATCTTGTGCCTTAGTGTGACCCTCTCTGACTCTGAAACAACTTCCTCACAGAAACAGGAAATGGCAGGTTCTGATCTCTCCAGTCCTCTGTGTGGAGTATGGCAGTGGGAGGAGGTCATCAATGAGCCCCAGGAGGAAACTGAATTTTCATCTGAAATCCTAGCTGGGGCACAGGTGAGCAGGGACGGGTATCTGAGACCACAAGAGTCTAGGAACTGGAAAAGGGGAGAACAACTCCATGGGCCACTCACTTTGGCTCCTCCTTTTACTTGTTTCCCATTCAATGAACAAATGTTGTTTATTGAGGATCTGCTGTATGCTGGACATCCAGCTACAAGCCAAACATGACCCCATCCCTGCCCTCCAGGGATTGCCTGCTGTCATGGGAGACACCAGTGAACAAAGTGAACAGACGACTGGGCTGTGGCTTTTGGTGTTTTCTTTTTTCAGAAAACACTGTCAGGAATCACCTTACTTAATTCTGTAGGAAGATAAGTAAGTTGTATATCCTGTGACCATAAGGATACATTAAGCATTTGTGTTTTTTTTTTTTTTTTTTCCAGTACTGGGGATCAAAACCAGGGTTTTGCACATGTGGGCAAGTGCTACCATGGAACTACCTTCTCAGCCCTTTTTCTTTGTTTTGAGGGGGGGTGGGGGCGGCGGGGGGGGGGGGGGGTCTCACTCAGTTGCTTACGCTGACCTTGAACTTGAGATTCTTCAGCCTCAGCTTCCAGAGTAGCTGGAATTACAGGTGTGTCCATCATGCCCAGCAAGCATTTATGTTTTGAAGAGGAGACACTTTTTTTTTTTTTAATTTTGACACAGAATCTGGCTAATTTGCTTAGGGACTCGATAAATTGCAGAGGCTGGCTTTGGACTTCTGATCCTCCTGCCTCAGCCTCCTGAGCTGCTGGGATTACAGGTGTGAGCCACCATGCCCAGCCAGGAGGCATTTTTAAGAAAAGCTTAGCAAGCTCACTGTTAGATCTTGACCTCAGAAATAATCATTGTCTTCTAACCCCCATAATTATCTGAACAATATTTCAATATCATTTGAAAGAACTGAGTTAAGTTTTCCTCAGTGTCCACAACCTAAAAAGGGGGTGTTAATCAATTCATGACAAAATAATTTTTTTTATTAAAATATTCAGTGAACTTGAGTATAGCTCAGTGATAAAGCACTTGCCTAACACACATGAGACCCTGGGTTTGATCCCCATCCAGCATTGCAAATGAAAAAAAAAATATTCCCAGCTCTATAAAAAATACTGAATTTTCTTGCTGGGCACAGTGGCGCACACCTGTAATTCCAGCAGCTCAGGAGGCTGAGGCAGGAAAATTGTGAGTTCAAAGCCAGCCTCAGCAACAGCAAGACGCTGAGCAACTCAGTGAGACCCTGTCCCTAAATAAAATACAAAATAAGGCTGGGGATGTGGTTCAGTGGTCCAGTGCCCTGAGTTAAATCCCCCCCCCACAAAAAAATTGTATTTTCTTAAAAACTATACCACTTCAAACCTTCTCACTATCCTTAAGGAGAAATTTGTTCCTCTGGTCACTTTTTCACTGGGTTGAGAGGCCTGTCATCTCTCTTTACACCAGTGCTTTTCACTTAGCTCTCTTGCACCTCTGTGAGGTGGGCATTCTCAGACCTCATCCTAGAATTCATGAGAAAATGAGGCTCGGAGAAAGATCACAGGTCCAGTCTTAGCCTCCTGGGGCAGAGCCACAGCCCTCAAAGGAAATGAAGGTTAGACTGGGCTTCTGGTTTGAGCTCTCAGGTGCTCCTGAGTGAGAGGCCTGAGAGGGGGAAGGCTGATCCAGGCCTTAGGGTGCCACTGGGCTGGGCCAGGACACACAGCTGGGTCACTCAGGTCCAGGCCCTTCTATGCTGAAGGCCTAATAGAGCATGCAGATGGGCCACTCCAGTGCAGGACAGTGGCGCTCAGAGAAGGAGTGTCTGGGAGATGGGGATGGGGGTCAAAGGGAAACTGACATGAGAACTTATTTTGAGAAAAGATGCTAAGTTGTTCAAGGAATGAGGCCTTCCTGGGAACAGCCTGTGCAAGACCTTGGGGTGTAAGACCAGTACTAACTTGGGAGTACAGGGTAGCTGGCGGGGAGTTCAAGGGATGAGGCTGGGAAGTTAATGAAAGGAACCTGACCAAGCTACAAGATTAGACTTTTTTCCATAAAATCACAAAATAGCTGTGAGCAAGGAGGTACTGGATCAGCTCTGAGCATAGAAAGAACCGTCTGGAACCAACCAGAGGCAGTAAGGCCAGGGAGGAGGCTGGGGCAAGGAGGATGGAGCCTGTGTCAGGGCAGGATCCTAGAGATGGAGAAAAAGGGACAGAGAGGGTAAAGGGACAGGGCTGGGGACAGATGGGCTACAAAGAGAGGGTGATGATGAGAAAAGAGAAGGAAAGACACTGAGCTTATCTTGTGACCGTGAAGTGACATCTTGAGGGACAACAGGGCTATCAGAGGCAGTTGGGTACACAAGGCCAGAGGCAATGTATTTAGAAAACAGTGTCAAGTTGGCAGTTGAGGTCATAGGCAACAATGAGATGTCTGTGGAGAAAACAGAGGTCCCTGGGTCCTGAGGGAGAGCAGATGGGGCCACCCAAGACTGGGAACCAGGGAGGAGAAGGGGGTTGGGAACTCTGACCTCCTTGTGGACCCAGGTGAGAATGAGAGATTTTGGAGGTGTCCCAGGGATTTAGAGGACCTGGTTTACTGGGTCCTACAGCAAAAGGAGCCTTAGCAGAATCAATAACAATGGCATTTTTGGTTTCTGCCCCTGGAGAGATAACAGAGTCATCTCTAAGTAGTGGGGAAGAAGAGGAGAGCTTAGAAGACAGTGGTCAGTTCATGGTCAGGTTGCAGCCAGGAGAGCCATTATATATGGGGTCTGGGACTGGAGAGAGTGGGCATGGCATGGGATGGGTGTGATTGACCCTCAGGGATGAGCATCTGAGTGAGAAGAGTCAGGGGAGAGCTGGCCTTTTTTGTTGTTTGTGGTGCTGGGGATTGAACCCAGGGCCTTGGGCATGCAAGGTAAGCACTCTACCAACTGAGCTATGTCCCTGGCCCTAGAGCTGACTCTTTTGTTTGCACAGAGCAACCCCGAGGGAGAGACAGCACATCTTGAAGAAGGAACAAAGGCGCCATTGCTGCGGTAAGAAGCTTGTTCCCTATTGAGCCTTCCCTCTGCCTCTGGGCGATGTCCCATCCATGGATGTTCACAGTGGGGACATGCCCCTCCGCTCACTCAGTCATGTCTTTGCTAAGGGGACCCTGAGGCCTGTGGACTAGAAGATGAGTCAGTCCTCCGTGCTTCTGGGTCTTGGAAAGACAGACCCTGACCCAGACAGTTCCAGAAGATTCGCACCTGACTCTGCCAGCAGGGAGGCTTCTTGAGGACGTGATGCTTGAGTGGGCCCTGGAGGACTGGATCAGTCAGTCCTGGAGACATTTAGACAGGAAGACACAATTGTCAGACAGATCGGACAGCTCGGTGTCTCAGTCATTCTCTCCCTGAACACACCTTTCATGAGGCCTCCAGGGAACCCAGATCAGGCCCTTGGAGAGTTCCCAGTGAATTGTGAGATCATGTGGGGTTCTGGTGAGTTTCTGGCTGTATTTCTGAATTCCAGCCCTGCAAGTCCAGGCCTCTGAGCATGAAGAAAGCACTAGATGTCTGAACCTACCCTGGAGCCTCTGGTTTCTTGTGGTGCCTCCTCTTGCCCCTCCCCTCTTTCAGGCTCCCGCTGCAGCAACTAATGAGGCTGCCTGCCATGGCCTCTAATTGGACTTGTCTGGGAAGAGCTGAGATTGGGCGGGCTAGGGGCTCTGGAGCTGTGACCTCCACCTGCGTCATCAGGAATAGAGAGAAGAAGGGGCTGAGCATTGGGGCGGGGGCGGGGGTGCTGATGCCATCTGCATTTCCGGAGTCGGGGAGCTGTGTGACCACAGATTGGGAAGCTGGGAGTGAGGGGGTAGTAAATACTGTGGCCTCAAAGGTAGCCAGGGTTGAGGGTTTGACTCCAAGAGGGGATGGAGATGAAACTGCCTGGGTCTCAGTAGATCAGAGCTCCATCTGACTGGAGCAGGGCTGGGCCTACAAGCTTAGGTCCTGTATTGGGTAGGAGTTGAGGAAACAGCTACAACCCTGAGAATGCTGGTGGTAATGGTGCTGCAGGGCTGGATCCCAGTCCTCAGTGAAGGTGTGGACATCTGTGGAGCAAGGTCTCTGGAGCAATCAGCCTGGGCAGCTTGAGACCTGAGTCCCCAAAGAAGCATTGCAGGGACTCAGGTACCTGTGACCCAAGAAGGAGCAGAGGCAGGGAGCTTATACAACCTAAGAGAAATTACCTGGAGTGGGGCAGAGTTCAAATAGTTGGATTCTAGGGACAGGGAGATCTAAGCTGGAGTCCCAGTCCTCAGAGACCCAGGAATTCTGAGGCCTCCTTTGGAAATGGCACAAGCCACTGGGAATCAAGAGGACATCTGCATGTGCCCTGGGTCTGAGAGAGCCAAGCTTTAATTCCTGGCTGGGAGATAAAGGGAAAGTAGCAGCTGAGAAAGTGAATCCGAGCAAAGAGGCCCCCTTACCCTTGGGGGGGACACAGAAGATTTGATGAAAATTCCCCTTCAGGGCACCCCCAGGGCCATCCATGGGCACTCTATGTGAAGACCCACAGGCACATGGGGAGGGTGTTTACAGTGACTTTGTTGTCAACTCAGGTTGTCCAGAAGAGAGGAAGAGGAAGAAGCGGAGAGCTTGGTCACGGTAGGCAGTCCCAGCCCCACTCCCAGCCCCCAGAGGCTGACTTATCAGCTTCTCCTCGGCCCCACCCCACACCCCCATTCCTCAGGAGCACAGAGAAAAATCATTTGGTCAAGAGATAACAAGGTCCTCACTGTAGCTAATGAGAGCAGATGGTGAGGTAGCGGGGAGACCAGGAGCCCAGTGGGCGGCCAGAATGTTCCCAGGAGATCCCCCAACCACACGCAGAGGGCTGTAGCCACCACACCATGGCCTCACAGACGTGGCTACACCCCCATATTACATAATGCATACGTACATGCACCCACACACTGAGTGCCCCCCTCTCCAGCCAGCCTCAGAACTCCCTTCGGGGTGCAGCACCCTGTGGTGAAGGAGCCCCACACTCTGGCTCCTTCGCTCCTCACAGTGTAGGGCAAGGTGGAGGCACAAGCCTGACTCAGGCAAAGGAAGGGAAAGAAATGGTGAAAAGAGAGAAGGCAGTCACAGTCCAGACTGAGGAATCCAGAGCTGGACTGGAGTTTGCTTGGTCAAATGTCTGGCCGTGTCCGGATACTTGGGACTCCAGGGTTCAAACTGGCCACAATGGTTGCCCTTGAGGAAGCTTAGCTCTGAGCAGCCCTGTCCCAAAATCCACCTTCTCCATGCCTCCCCAGAGGCAGGCCCCACCCCAGCATCCCCACAGCTAACACGGCAATGACCTCACCCAGCTCTCGGGGTTAAGGGCCACATGGTAAAAGGCCCCGCTCCATGCCTGGCCCAGTAGCCAGTAGTAGTGAGGATAGCAATTGGAATTAGTATTCTGTTTTTATTGGTTTATTTCTGTCATTGTCATCATCTATGGAGCAAAGGGGTTGGGGGCGGGAAGGCCAGATCTATAGAGAGGAGTTTCTTCCAGGGAGACGAGGGGGATAAGGTAGCAAAGTGGGCTGGACCTGGCCCTTGGAGGAGTCTTTTGGGGCTTTACTCCTAAAGCACCTGCTGATTCTGGCATCAGCAAGAAGACTGTCCCAATCAAGGAGTGTCCATGCTGTTATTGGCCCAACAGAGGCAGGGGCACCTGTGGAGGCCTTCTGCCCTCAGGGGCCTTAGAAATTTCCAAAATCAGATGGGGAGATTGAGAAGATAATATTGAACCGCTCCCACAGTTATCGATTGAGCGCTCTCTGGACCAGTCTCTGTTCTGAGCCCCGCCCCCTCTTTTACTTGCATTCACTCATTTAGTCTCCATGGTAAGCCTGTGATGTGGGGGCTGTCATCGTCCCTGACCAGCAGGAGGGGAAAGCAAAGCATGGAGAGGCATGGTACTTGCCAAGTGGGCCGACCCGGGGCCTCTCCCACTCAAGGACCCAGTGCCTCAGCCTTGTCTCCTTTATCCTCCCAGACTGATACCCCGATCCCTCTGGGAGACCCTCACCCTGAAAACATCCCAGGAAGCCCTCCTGAAAGGTAATGGGACCCATGGTGACAGGAAAGGAACTTGGGGGACAAACAAAAAGCTCAGCAGTGATTCCCTTCCCTTTTGTTTCCCCAGCAGCTCTGTTGAGTCAGAGTTCCAGCAAGCCCTGGTGCCTGTGGTGAAAGAGCTGGTCCCAGTCAGGAGGCCCTGGGGCCAATGCTGCCTGCACCCCCAGCGACTCAGGTGTGCCCTCGAGGCATTTCCAGAAGCGGGGAGATGGTCAGACATTGCAGAGACCATGGCTCCAATAGGACCCACTCTAAGCCCTTTCTTCTTCCCACCAGGGTCACTCAGCACCCGCTGGTCCCAGCCCCGATCCTGGGCCTGCTGCTACTGCTGCTGCTGCTCTCAGTCCTGCTGCTGGGCCAGTCCCAGCCCCCTACCTGGCCCCACCTGCAGCTCTGCTACCTGCAGCCCCCACCAGTGTAAGGCAGGGCTGATCCTGCTTTCCTTCCCCAGGGAGCAATGTCTAGTTCCATTGCTCCCTCAGGGAGCTTTCTCCTGTTCCCTTCATTGTTATGCCACTGTTATTTGGGATCACCCAGAGCTAGTACATAGGGATCCACATCCCATCTTGAGTTTTTATGTGAAGTCTCCTGGTTTTCTACTGTTGGTGACTCTGTTTCTTAATAATAGCAAAACACACCCAGCAATGGCTTCAGTACTAAAAATTATTTCCTCACCAAACAAGTCTGGAGGAAGGCAAGCAGCCACGGGCTCACAGCTGAGTCACAGCAGCCCCAGAGATCAGGGTCTCTGGAACTCTCTTGGCCCTTCCCTCATGCTCAGAAGATGGCAGTTGTTGTAGCTTCCTACATCACATCTGCAGGGCGAAGGAGAAGTGTCCTTGCTTTTCATAACAGAGAGCCACTGCCTCTCTAGAGTTACCCACAGTCTTGTGTTGAAGTCTCATTAGCCAGCCGTTTGTCAGGACCATCCCTCGCTGCAAGGCAGGCTGGGAGACCTGGGACTCTGAGCACCTTTCCTGGGGCTGGACATGTTGCTGCCCAAACTCCCATCTGTTAGCAAGGGTACATATGGGGAAAGCAGATAAATACCTGCCACAGCAACTCATTCAAATTATTGAAAAACACTGCATGGCATGGACCATAAAACAGGCTTAGTGGTCACCTATAGACCTCTAGTTTGTAACCTCTGAGGTTCTAGCCCCAAGCATTGCCAGGCAGCCTTGAAGGGGCTCCTGGACACTTCCCTGATCCCTCTTTCCTTCTTGCACTGTCCTAACATCAGAGTCTTAACTCTGTCCTGTCAACACCCCATGGGTAGGAGCCTGGGTTGGCCAAGTCCTAACTGCATCCTAGGTCAATAATGGGCAATCTTCTGTCTCCTACAAAACCTGTCACCCTTGTTGATATTTACCATCTTCATTGCTTTGATACATTATAATGCTACAAGCCTCTTTCCACCCTAACAACTTTAGTACATGGACTGAGTACTGGACACACAGTAGGTGACAGTAATATATTTTGGGAGGAACAGGGGAATATATGGAGACTAATAACCTCCTCCCCCCCAAAATATATCACGGGACACCTACTCTGTGTCCAGCACACAGTCTTGGTACTGAAGTTATACAGGGAATTCTTCCCAGATAACTGACATTCTTTAGTCTTGAAAGATAGGTTCTGACTGGTTACAGTGATCAGGGGAGGGTGTCACTGGTAGAGGTAACAGTCTGTGTAAAGAATAGGTGGTAGAAGAGAGACCAGTGTGTGTGGAAAGAGGCAGGCAGCATCCGTTTGCTGGGATTTAGTTTATTTATTTTTAATTTTTGGTACTGGGGATTAAAAAAAAAAAGATTTGCAGCCAGGGAAGGATTTGTAGCTGCTACAGTGTAGTGGAAAATAAAGAAGTGGGCAAGAACCCATGAAGGGCTTTGAACCTAACGTGAACTTCATTTCCAAGTGCCTGTGAAAGGGCATTGAGCAAGGGAAGGCAGAACCCACTCGGGAGAACTACCTGCCAGGGTCTGGAGAGGGGATGAATGAAGGAAGGGGTATGGCTGCAGGCAGGGAGGTGGGAGGAGTTGAGCTGTGGTCCACTTAGGAGAGAATGAGGCCTGAGCTGGGCTGGGCAGGTGGATGAAGAGGCAGGGAAGAGCAGAGAGAGGCAGGGCAGGAGGCATGGGGCTGGAAACTGACAGGCTGTGAAGGAGGGTGAAGAGAGAAGGATCAAGGACAGCACCCAGGGTCTGGTCCAGGCCTGGTGGACAGTTGGGTCATTCCTAAGACAGGGAAAGCCTTTGAGGAGTAGTGGGTTTGGGGAAAGACCTCATTTGGTGCCTGGACCCTTGAGCCCTCAGTCCTGAGCTCCTGGTCTGGAGGAGGAGTCCAAATGTGATAGTAATCAAATCTGGGGATGGCTGAGTTTTCCTGGGAATGGAGTAGAGAGGGAAAGAGTTCCAGGTACTATTTTGTGAAAAGGCCTTTATTGCTAGGCAAGGGATCCAGGAGAAATCAGAGCATGGGAAGAGCCCAGACAGGTACCCAACTGCCAGGCTCTCAGGCAAACAGGAAGTTTTCTTGCCAGGTCATAAGATTAAAAGAGTAAATACATGTGCAGCACTAGAATGAGTGCCTGGCATCCTGGCCCTGTGGGGTACACCTGTAACCCCAGGGAGGGGCGGCTAAGGCAGAATCCCAAATTCAAGGTCAGCCCTGGCAATTTAGCTTCAATATTTTAAAAGGACTGGGGTGTAGCTCAGTGGTAGAGCACTGGAGGTCCTGGGTTGGATTATCAGTAATTGGGGAGTTGCTGGCATGCAGCAACTGCAGATTAACATTTTAACCCATTTCCTCCTGAGAGTAGTAGGGAGTCTAGACTTTAGACGCTGTGCAGTTTAGATTCCAGTTAACCTTCTGTCTCTTACTAGCTCTGACAACTTGGGGAAATTGCTCCTTTCAGTCTTGTTTCTTTATTTGTAAAATTAGGCCAACTTAGGCTGGAGGGTGTAGCTCAGTGGTACAGCGCTTGTCTGGAATGCGCGAAGCCAGGGGGGTTGGGGTGTCAACACCGGACCGTTGTAGGATTACGATTACCCTTGGTTTTTCGGTTGACTCAGACAAGCATAGTCCCGCCCCCACAGCCTGAGTAAGGGCCAACTGGGACTCCGACCGCCTCCCGGAAATACGAGTTTCCACAAATCTGACAGCCCCGCCCCTCTTCCTGCGCGCCAGCTCTCGGCTCCACCCTCTTCTTCAGGCCAACCAGAGCCCGGTCCGCACGAGCTGTCTCGGCCCCTCCCCGCACCCCGCGCGGGTTCAGTGAGCTCCGCTAGCAGCCAGGAGTGAGTTGTCGGGTCTCCAACGAGGGGCGGAGCTGGAGGACGGTCAGGCCTCTGGGGGAGAGGTGGATTTTGGTTGTTTCTCCTTCACCTGGACCCAGGGGGTCTTCCCCATCCCCTATCCAACTCCCCGGAGACTGGCCCGGATAGTTTCCCAAGAAGGTCGCAATTCAGAAATCCAGAAGAAACTACTGGGAGCTGCTGCGAAAGGCAGCTAATTAATGACACTTTTCTAATAAAAGCGTTTTTCTGCGTGTCAGGCTGTGTTGAAGGCTTTTTGGAGGGGGTTTCATTTGATCCCAATGACAGATGAGGAAAAGGAGGTGCACAGAGCTTAAACCCTTCCCAATGACACAAAGCTAGTTTCAGGGGAGCCCGGGCTCAGATGCCAGAGTCCGCGTTCTTTCCTCCGCGCCCAGGGAGAAGCCTAGAGGTGACCAGAGAGGGAAAGTGCGAAATTGAGAGAAAATAAGAGCTGAAGGAGAGACATGGAGACCCGAAGGAAAAGGAAGTCCTGAAAAGTAGAGCAGAGACAACGCGGGGAGGGTGGTTAAGAAGGGAAGATGAGTTTGAGAGGCAGAAAGAAGAGAAGAGGCGGAGGTCTGCACAAGGGTGGGAAAGCAGGAGGGTGAACAGGCGGGGACAGACACCCAGAGAGGAAAGAGACCCAGAGAAGGAGGCAGAGGGGACTGAGCTAGACACCCGAGTGGCCGACTCAGTGCTGCCCGCGCGCTCTCACACACACACACGCGCACGCACACACACACACACACACTCGGGTGGCGCTGGAAGGAGGCACAGGCGCGAGCTCTCCGCAGAGTCTTTATTAATGTGGGTGGGCGGGGCGCTCAGGGCGCGTCCAGCAGCAGCAGCTTGTGCATGTACGAGTTCAGCCAGTGGCGGCGCTCGAGGGCGGCCAACAGCCTCGCGCGCTCTCGGAAGGCCGCGTCGTCCGCCAGCGCCAGGCTCCGCCGCAACAGTGGGGTGACTGGACCCCACGAGGCCCGGCCGGGGGTGCGGAGACTGTAGGGAGACGGAAGGACCCATTACCTGAGGCCAGGCCCCCGCCCATTGCAGGCGGTCCTTCCTGCGGTCTAACTCGAAGCTCCAATACTGCACCGTGGTCTCCCTGCCCGCCCCCGTCCCCTCTCCTCTCAGTCGGTGTCTCTGTTTCTGTGGATCTGTCCCCCGCCACCCCTCCCCAGGTCGGAATCGCTCTTAGAATCCAGACCGAGTCCCACGCACTTGTCGGGCCCCAGCGCTCAGCGCACTACCTGGCAAAATAGAACCCAATAAGCGTTGCTCCAAGAAGGAATCCGTTTCCGCACCGAGTCTCTCTACACCTTTCTCGGAATCGGCCTTTGGGATCTCTTTCTCTTGCTGATTCTCGGTCCGCCCTCCCCCTAACATCCCCACCGCCCCTTCAGGCCAGTCTCTGTCCTCTCTCTGGGTTTCTTCGCCCGCTCCTGGGGTCTCTCCGCACGCCTCGGGTTCCCACCCCCTCCCAGGACCTCGCACCTACCTGAAGATCCCGGCAGGAGGCAGGGCCACACCTGAGGCAGTGCGGGTGCCCCAGGGCACAAGCAGCAACAGCAGCAGCAGCAGCCGCCGCACCCGGGGGCTCCTGGTCACCTGGCGGGTCTCCATCACCTGTGGAGGAGAGAGAAGGAAGAGCTCCTACAGTCTAACCCGGACCAGAACCCCGGACCCCATCCTCCCTTTACCCCAACCACCTCCTGCAGGTCCCCTACCGCTCAGTGGGCTTGGGCAGCGACGCCGTAGCCCCCTTATATCTTTTCCACAGCCCCCGGCTGGAGTGACGCAGGCCGGGCTGGGGGCGCTCGGTCAATTCCCCCCACAGGCTCATTAGGAGCCGCCTGCGATAATGAGGAGCCCGGGGTGGGGGCCTGGCCGCTTCCTTGGCGGCCACCAACTAATTGGGACCAGGAGCTGAGACCTGAGAAGAGGAAGGGGGAGAGACAGAGACACAGAGGTGGGCACAGGGTGGGTGTGTCAGAGGGATAAAAATAGAGACTGCAGAGGGACCATAGGAGCAGAAATCAGAGACACAGAAAGAGCCCGGGAAAACAAGAGAGAGGAGGAGAAACAGACAAATGGGAGAAACTGTCACAGGAAGGAAGGACAAAGAGGGTGACCAAGCAAGGGAAGGAGAGCAAGAAAGGAAGCAGCAGAAGAAGAGAGGCAGAGGAAGGAAACAAGAGAGAGACAGAGCCAGGCCGCTGTGGAAGGTGGAGGGGAAATGATCTCAGAGAGAAGGGAAGGAAAGATAGCAGTAGAGGGGCACAAGTTCAGAGACCCCCCCAAGGGAGAGAGCAGGCCCCACAGTAGGGGGGGGCCGAGGCTGGAAGTACCAAAGGGCTTCACGTGGGACATGAGCATCTGAATCCCAGTTCCCCAGAGAGGACATATACAGAGCTTGGATTCTTAGGTCTATGATTGGATGGGACAGGGACCCTATTTCCTGACTTTGGGAAGGAATTGCTGGGGACCTGGATTCCTGAATCTGGGGAAGGAGGGAGCTGGAGGTCTGCATTCCTGGGTCTGATAGGAAGGAGATGGGGGCCCTGTCTCAGCGGGTTCAGGTAGGAAAGTACCAGGACCTAAATCCTTGGCTTTTGGGGGTTGGGCGAGGCAGAGGGCCAGACCCTTGGTTTCAAAGGGAAGGTAGTTTGGGTCACATCCTCCCCACATCACTCAGTCACTAACTCCCTTCTCCACTCAAAAGACACACAAAAAAAAACTATGTCCTTTATCTCTGTCCCTTTAAGAACCTAAGTGCTGTTGCTAGGTTCCCAGGATCCCCGGGGAGGGGGTCAGGTGCGTCACTGTGCACCTCTGGGACCCTAGCTCCTGCTGCCCCACCCAGAGTCATTCTGCAGCACTGACAGGTCTTTGCATCTAGCTCTGCTCACCTGCTGTTATCTTGGACACCGTTGAGCAGGTAAGAGACCCCAAGTGACCCTGTCCCATCCAGGCATCTGCTGCCTCCACCTGCACCTGACCACAGACCAATGCATCTCTGTTCAGACCAGCCCCTGAAATGTGGAGATCCTAGCTCCATCCTTGATAAACAGGGAGACCCAAAGCTCCCCCCTGACCCAGCTGAGGAGTCCAGTCCTCCAGAGCCTATTTCTGGAGGGCCTAGGACTCAGAGCTCCCAAACTCCTTCTAACTGGGCCCAAGAGTTCCAGACCCCTATGTCCTTTCTCCCCCTATTCTCCAGCCCTGCAAGCCTTACTCCCTCAAATGTCTAGCATTTATTTATTTATTTATTTATTTATTTAATTTATTTTTATACCAGGGATTGAATCCAAGGATGCTTAACCACTGAGCCACATCCTCAGCCCATTTTTTTTTTTAAATATTTATTTATTTTTTAGTTCTCAGCGGACACAACACCTTTGTTTATATGTGGTGCCGGGGATCGAACCCGGGCCGCACGCATGCCAGGCAAGCATGCTACCGCTTGAGCCACATCCCCAGCCCCACCTCAGCCCATTTTTATTTTTTATTTTGAGACAGTCTCACTAGGTTGCTTAGGGCCTCCCTAAATTACTGAGACTGGCTTTGAACCTGCAATCCTCCTGCCTCAGGCTCCCAAATCTCTGGGATTACAGGTGTGTGCCACTACTCCAGGCTTGAACTTCCAGTCTTCTAATCTCTGGAAAGAACCAGGGATTTAAACGTTAGCGCCCTCACCCTGCAGTATCCAGGATCCTGAACCCCCATCAACCTTCTTGCCCAGAACCCAAATGTCTTCCTTCTCTCTCAGATCCCAGATTCCAGCCCAAAAGCTGTTCCTTGGGTTCCGTGTAAACAATTGTTGAGTCAAGGAGCTCTGGAGGGTTTGTCCCCTGGGAGATCTGACACCCACCAAAGTTAAAGTGCAGGATGTATGGGGGCTTAGAGAGGTGTCATGTTTTTCCAGTTTTCTGGGACCTCTTAGAGAAACAGGTAAGGAAATTAACTACCACCCCCAAGAAGCCCAGCGCTTCTGTCTTCCTTAGCGACGGCGCTTACAGCCCTACAGCCTTTGGGGAGCTGCAATGGGGTTCTGCTCCTTTCCTTGGCACCAAGCAGGGCCCTAGAGGGACCGGGTCCACTTGGGAGCCAGTAGAAGTGGCCTCTGGGGAGTGGGTGGGGCTTGGGAGGCTTCGACCTTAACCCCTTCCTTCCTGCTCCTCCAACAGCTACAGACATCTCCCAGAGCTATGAAATCTTTCAACCCGATCCTCTTCCTCCTCGTCTTCCTCCTGGCCCAGCTGGGTTCCAAGGCCGCCCCCTCAGCCTCTCCACCTCTTGACTCTGACTTTAAGGGGATGGACCATCCCTCTGAGACCTCCCCTGGTGCTTCTGAAAATTCCACTAAAGATTGGCCTAACCCAGAATTCCCTGGGACTGTTTATCCTGAGCCCTCTGAGACCCCTAATACGGTTTCTCCTGAGACCTCCCCCTTCGACGTCACTGAGACTCTCAATCTTCACCTCCAAGAAACTTCATACCCCAAGTCCCCTGAGACCCCTAAGCCTGAATTACACACAACCTCAGTATCAGCTCCCCTGGATACCCCCAAAACTAACCCCTTCAAAGTGACGGAAACTTCTGAGACTCCCAAACCTGACCCGACTGGAAATCCACACCCAAGATCCCCTGAGACCCCCCAACCTAATTTCTCAGAAACTTCACACCCAGAATTTCCTGAGATCGAAAACACTGACCCTATACAGACTACACACCAAGAATTCCCAGAGAATCCTCAACTTAATACCACTGAAGTATCACATGCTAAAACCCCTGAGGCCCCAAATCCTGACGCCACCAAGGCCCTTGATCCCAAATCTCTAGAAACCCAGGACACTGATACCACTGAGATCCCAAAGTCTGAATTTCCTGAAACAAGCCATCCTGACCCTACTGAAACCCCCCATCCAGAGTCCCTTGTGATCTACTCCAGCCCTACTGACATTCCTCAAACAGAGTCCCCCCCAACCCACTACCAAGATGCAACAGAGATCTCCACGACCTCTGAGCCTGAAACCTCCACTAGTCTTCACCCAGAAACGCTTATGGCCCTCGAGGATGAAGTCACTGCCTTAAATGGACTGCACCTGAACCCCCCAGCAGAGACCCATACAGCCCCACAGCCTGACCTCTCTAAACTGCCCACCTCAGATTCTCCAGGGACCAGTGAGCTGAAGGCCCCTCAGAACTCTGGCCCTAAGGGGCCGGACACTCCTCCTCCCTCAGCCCGGATCGCAGGTCCCCCAGTTTCTCAAGAGCTCCCCAATCAGCAGGCCCCTGCAACACCCCGACCTCAGAGACACAGCCGAGGTGACAGAGTCAACACTATCATTGTGGTGGAGCGAGTGAAAGAGACCGGTGAGGGGCTGGGCCTGGACCCCCGAGTCTGAGGGAGGGGGCTGGGCCTGGACCCTGGGCCTGGGGGAGGAGGGCTGGGCCTGGACCCCCAGGTGGGAGGGAGGAGGCTGGGCCTCTACCCCCCCCCCCCCCCCCGGTCTGAGGGAGGAGGCTGGGCCTGGACCCTGGGTCTGGGGGAGGAGGCTGGGGCTTGACCCCTGGGTCTGAGGGAGGGGGCTGGGCCTGGACCCCTGGGTCTGAGGGAGGAGGCTGGGTCTGGACCCTGGGTCTGGGGGAGGAGGCTGGGGCTGGACCCTGGGTCTGGGAGGAAGAAACTAGATTGGATTGCCCCTCTCCTGCTTCAGGGGTGACTCTGGTGGGACGCCCACGTGGCGCGACAGGAGGGGCCCTGTGCCTGTTCTTTGCGGGGACGGGGCTGCTGATCGGCATCTTCCTGCTGCTGTGGTGTCTCTACCGCCGGGCGGCCCAACAGCGGTCCTTCGCCCACCACCGGCTCCCGGACGGCGGGGATGAGCCAGGTGAGTCCTGCTTTCCCTGGAAGGTCTGCACGTTTCCTTAACCTTCTGGGCGCTTTAGGGCGCCCTGCCAAAAAATGCAGAACCCCATTCAAGACCAATAAAAGCCCCCCCCAAGGCCACGTCCTGCCCTCCTGTTATCTGAAGTTTCACAAACACACCCCAGGTCCTCCCCAAGGCAGTTGGCACCGGCCCCTCCCGGGGCTCTGCAGCGGCCCTGATTTCCCCGCCCCCTTCAAGGCCCCGCCCCTTCCCGCGGAACCACCCCCCCCTCCAGATGCCCTCAACCTTTTCTTTAAAACCCAGTTCAAATGGATGGTCGGAATCTCTCCGATCTCCTCATCGGCCCGAGGCCTGGCCCAGGAGACCGACAGGCCCCGGTCGCCAGACCCCGTCCTCCGGGGGATGACCCCTCCCCTTTGCTTTCACAGTTTTGCACTTGGACACCCCGAAGGACCCCTACGACCTCTACTTTTATGCACCGGATGCCTGGGTCCCTTCACACATCGCCACCAAGCAGCCCCCTCCCACACCCCCACTACCACCCAAGCTGCCCCCGCCGCCACGCGGGGGTCGGCCCCAGCGCCTGGAGTCGCTGTCCCCGGCCACGCTCCCCAACAACTTCGTGTGAACCCCTTCCGGGCCCTCTCGGACCCGTGCGTTGCTAAGGGGAGGGAGAACCCAGAGGTCCTGTCCTCCTGGAAGGCTTGGCTGCTTAGTGGAGCTCCCCAGTAG